TTCCTTCCTCCCTCTCCGGGCCTCCTCCTCTCTGTCTTTGCAAGTGTGTCTGTGTGTCTTTCCTTCTGTTTCTTTGTCACTGTTTCTGTGCTGCCTCTCCCCCAACACAGGCCTCCTCCCCACCAGCTCCACTGTACCTCTCTCTCAGCCTGTCTGTCTCCGTTTCTCACTCTCTCTATCCTTTCTCTCTCCAGGTTGGGTGGAGAAAGAAACCTACTACTGACCTCAACCCTGCCACGTCGCCGCCCGTCTCTTCCCTGTCCCCAGGCCCAGGACAGTCCCCTCCAGTTCTCCCATTTTGTATTCTGGGGGGAGAGGCCCTCTCTCCCCGTGGCCCTATCTTGGCCTCCACCCCTCAGTTACCTCCTGCTCCTCCCTCTCTCCTCCCTCTGGCTGGCTTCTCTCCCCCCACAGCCCCTGCCTCTCTCCTCTCTCTCTTTTCTGTGTCTGTTTCTCTCCCCCCTCCCCCCTCCATCCCTGTCCCCCCAGCACTGTCTCTGGGCTTTTTTTTACTCCTCCTCAGCCCCCTCACCCTGGCTGACGCCATCTCTGGTTCTGGACAATTATCAAATATATCAGTGGGGAGAGAGAAGCCGCGTGTGTCATGCTCGTTTTCTGGACAGGGCTGTGGGCGGGTTGTGTCCGCTGTGTTACCACAGGGTGCCGGCCAAGTCTCGGGAGCCCTGTTTAGCCTGGCACCAGCTTGGGAGTCACAGAATCATGGAGTTTTAGAGTCCACAGAAGTTAGAACTCACCAGGCGATGGGACTACAGAATAAGGACAGGGAGAAGGGGAGACTCAGACTTGGGATGGCAGAGGAGGTCCTCTCCTGTGGAGGATGACCCTGGGAAGGCTGTGACAGGAGGATTTTTTTTTTCAGTACTGGGATTTGAACTCAGGGCCTCATGCTTACTAAACAGGCACTCTACAACTTGAACTACTCCACCAGCTCTCCTGGTGACTCTTTGCTGAGATCAATTTTCACACCATAAAACTGAAATTTTTGGGGGCTGGGACTGGGGTTTGAACTCAGGGCTTTATGCTTGCAAAGCAGGTGCTCTACTGCTTGAGTCACACCTCCAGTCCATTTTGCTCTGGTTCTTTTGAAGATGGGGTCTTGCAAACTATTTGCCGGGCTGGTCTCAAACTGGGATCCTCCAGATCCCAGCTTCCCAAGTAGCTAGGATTACAGGTATAAGCCACCAATATCCAGCTAAAACTCGTCTTAAGGGTGCATTTGGCATTTGGAAAATTATATCTGGGGCCGAGGATATAACTTGGTGGTACAGCACTAGCCTTACATTCAAGATGTACCACACAAAAAATTATAAAACAAAATAAAATCTTACCCAGAGTAAGTTATAGAACACTGCCATCCACCCAGAAAGTTCCCCCCTGCCCTTTTCCTGTTGTCCCTTGCCAGAGGCAACTGCTGATCTGAGTCTACCACCGTTACTTGTATCTGCTCTTTTTGGGTTTCGGCAGTACTGGGGTTTGAAATCAGGACCTGGACCTTGTGCTCTATCACCTGAGCCACATCCTCAGTACTTTAGTTTGTTTTCAGATAGTGTCTTGTGCTTTTGCTCAGACTGCGATCCTCCTATTCAGGCCTCCTGAGTAGCTCGGATTTTGGGCATGTATCACCACTTCCAGCCCTGGGCTATTTAGCTTTCATGGAAACTGACAGAGCCTTTCCAAAGTGCTTGTGGCGTTTTGTACTCAACAGTGTATGAAAGTCCCCAGTGGTTCCACATCCTACCACCATTTAGTATTGCCAGGCCTTTCACCCTCGGCCATCTGGTTGGGCAGATAAGCCTCTTGGGGCTGCTTTCTCACACAGCCCAGGGTGCAAGTCAGAGGAGGGGACCTGGGCCTGCTGCCTCCCAGTGGAGGAGTCTGGGTGGCCAGGACAACCTGAGGCCCTGTGAGAGTGTGAGCATGTGTACACATGCCGAGGGACAAGACAGTGGCCAAAGGAGACCTCCAGAACGGAGCAGGGAGGCGGTGGGAGGGCAGAGCCTCTGTGCTGGGACCCTTGGCAATGCCAGGCCAGACCTGGTTCTGGAAGAGTGCTGTGTGCGCCTGGACCTCTCATGGGACACCCACGGACACTGGTGCAGGGGAAAAACACCCCCTTAGATGGGCAAACTGAGGCTCAGAGTGGGGAGGGACTACTGCTGGGTCACATAGCAGGGACTGTCATCCAGGTTTCTGGCTGGCTGTGCTAATGTCTTCCTGCCTTACCAGCTCCCCTTTCTCTGGATATGCAAGATGCAAGCAGGAGGCCTCAGACTGGAGGGAGCTCAGAGCCAGGACCCATCTTCCACAGTCTTCTCAGGCACCCTTCATCTTCAACCACCCCCTAATTCAGGGCCCATCTACCACAGTCCCCTTCTGTCAGGGACCTCATCAGCTGAGGCTTTAGGAAGCGCTCTTTCTCTATCATTATTTCAAAGGGCTCCTTTCCCAATTGCTCCATGCAAGGCCCCATCTCCCCCAATCCACTTACCCAAAGTTCTTCCCATTCTCTCATTCACAAAGCCTCTCCCCACAACATCCCTGCTTCTGGACCCCACTGCCCTCTCCCCACTAGCCCCACCCACCTCCCTCCATGACTTGTGTCTCACCACCTCCAGGCCTTTGCCCAACTATGTCCTCTGGTGGGTCAGGAAGCAAAAAGGCTTTGACTCAGCTCTCCTAAAGAAACTCAGCAACTCGTGTAACAAAAAACAAAAACAAAAAATGCAAATTTTTCAAGGACAGCATGGGAAGAGGCAGCTGGACCTTTGCCACCAATCTGGTTCCCAAGATACCTCTATCCCCTGGGGGCGCTCTGCTGGTTACCTCTGCGCCCCCGTCACTCTGAACTCAAGTGACCCTCAGTAACTCGCTGGGTAATTGTACATTCATGGCCCTCCTCTGATCTCGTGAGTTGGAAAACCTGAACAAAATTTACTAAAATCCTGAAGACAAAAAAGGGGAAATAGGCCAGGCGCCAGTGGCTCAGGCCTGTAATCCTAGCTACTCAGGAGGCAGAGATCAGGAGGATCATGGTTCAAAGCCAGCCTGAGCAAATAGTTTGTGAGACCCTATCTTGAAAAAAAAATCTATCACAAAAAAGGGCTGGTGGAGTGGCTCAAGGTGTAGGCCCTGAGTTCAAACCTCGATACTGGAAAAAAAAAAAAAGTGCCCAGACTCAGACACCAGCCAATCTTTGGGACATCTAAGGTTCAAGGGGCCAGCAGCCCCTAATGTGCTACTGTGAAATTTGAGGAGGCCTAACTCTAGAAATACCCAGAACATTCATAATAATGTACAGACAGTAACCCCAACTACATTTATTAAGCACCCTACATGGGCAATTTACCTGAACCACCAGTACCCTGTGACTGGTGCCATTAAGACAACACTGCCTAGATGAAGACACGGAGGTTCAAGGAGGTGACTAGGTCTAAGCCACCCAGCCTGGATTTCTCTCCTGAGTCTGACTCCAGAATCCCAGCTCTTTTGGGTGTAATCATTTCTTTAAAAAACTTCCAACCTTTTCTTTTCCTAAGTTCCCTCTCTCCGATCCAAAGGTGTGTGTGGAATATCCCTAGTCCTAATCCACTCCTCCCTGGTTGTCTAAGGGTGGAAGAGATCTTTGTTCCAGCAACCATGGTCTCCTCCCCAGCATCTACCTCTTAAGGGAGGAATTCATTCCCACTAATTCTGTTATCTCAGCACTCAAAAATGTGGTCCAGTAGGAATGGTGGCTCATATCTGTAGTCCTAGCTGCTTGGGAGGTGGACATTGGAAGGATCAAGGGTTGAGGCCAGCTCAGGCAAAAAGTCCTCAAGACCCTATCTCAACCAATAAAAGCTGGGTGTGGTGGTGTGCATCTGCCATCCCAACTATGAGGGAGGCATAAAAAGGCTGGCTTGGGCAAAAACAGGAGACTCTATCTCAAAAATAACCAGAGCCATTTGGAGGAATGGAGAGCGACTGCCTGGCAAGCATGAAGCCCTGAGTTCAAACTCCAGTTCTGCCAAAAAAAAAAAAAAATTCCTTGGCTGGGCACTGGTGGCTCGTGCCTGTAATCCCAGCTATTCAGGAGGCAGCAATTGGGAGGATCATGGTTCAAAGTTAGCCCGGGAAATTAGTTCGTGAGATCCTATCTCGAAAAAACCTACCACATGACTGGCGGAGTGGCTCAAGGTGAAAGCCCTGAGTTCAAGCCCAAGTACAGCAATTAATAATAACAATAATAAAAGAACCAGAGCAAAAAGGGCTGGGGGCATGACTCCAGTGGTAGATTGCCTGCCTAGCAAGTGCAAGGCCCTGAGTTCAAACACTAGTACCTCCCAAAAAAAAAAAAAAAGTGGTCCAGGTGGGTGTGGATGGGTGTAAATCCCAGCTACTCAGGAGGTGGAGTTAGGAGGAGGCCAGTTGCCAAAATTGCAATACCCTATCTGAAAAATAAACTAAAAGTAAAAAGACTGGGATGTGGCTCAAGTGGTAGAATTCAAACTCAACTACTGCAAAAAAAAAAAAAAAAGTGGTGCAGAGAACATCAGCATCACCTGGGAATTGTTAAAAATGCAAATGAATGAGCTTCACCCCAGACTTGTTGAATCAGAATGTCTGGGGCTGGGGCCCAGTAAAGCAATGTCTTATCAAGCCGTCCAGTGTTTTTAAGCTCTCTAGAATCATGACAGCTCTGCGCAGTCCCTATTGCATCCTCCTCGGGAGAGTACATGACTCCCCCTTCTGCCATTGGATGCCATTGGAGCTCCGATAACATCTTCACTCCTGATATGCACCTGCCAAGCTCCACACGGCCCAACTCCTGAAACTACAACTCCCACAACGCTGAAAGGCGCTCAGTATGTTCCGGGACTACACCTCCCAAGGTGCTTGCAAGCAAGTCCGCCAATCATAGCTCCCGCCCTGTCAGACGCCGCTAGAACTACAACTCCCACAATGCTCCGCGGCGCAACTACCGCCCCCTGCGGTTCGGAGCGGCGCCACGTCCGCTCCGCGGGGTGAGGCCGGGCTCGGGCGGGGCCCGCGGAGTCTGCAGGACTTGGGGCTGGTTACCAGCAGTTCTGTCCCTCACAACGCAGACATGGCAGCCCAGAAGGACCAGCAGAAGGATGCCGAGGCAGAAGGGCTGAGCGCCACGTGAGCGAGCCGGCACTGGTGTAGCCCCTGATCCAAGACGCGGGAATCCTGCCCCCCCCCCCCGCCCCGAGTCCCAGAAGTCCCGGCCTCCAGGCATAGAGCTCTAGGGACCCTGGAGTCTGGGCCCTTAGCCGTCTCATCTCCAGGGATCCAGGAATCTTGCTCCCTCCTGGGACCCTTCCCCATTAGGACCCCGGAGCCCATTCCCCCTTCTCCCTTATTCCCCGAGGGTCTGGGCTCCCAACCCAGCCCGCCGCTGACCCGGCTCTGCCCACCAGGACCCTGCTGCCCAAGCTGATTCCCTCTGGCGTAGGCCGAGAGTGGCTGGAGCGGCGCCGCGCGACCATCCGGCCCTGGGGCACCTTCGTGGACCAGCACCGCTTCTCGAGACCCCGCAACCTGGGCGAGTTGTGCCAGCGGCTGGTACGCAATGTGGAATACTACCAGAGCAACTATGTGTTCGTGTTCCTGGGCCTCATCCTGTACTGCGTGTGAGTGCCTCCCCTGCCCCGCACGCACCCCCACGGGCTGGCCGCCACGCCCAGCCGACAGGCCCCGCCCACCACTGCCAGACCCCGCCCATCGGCAGCCCCCCCCCCCCCTTCTTGCCCATGAGTTAGTTACCAAAGGGCCAAGTCTGTATTCCCCCATCAACCTGGCCAGGATGTAGGGTCAGGTCCCACCTGGCCTTCCCTGACCTCAAGGACGTAGCCTTTGCATGTCCTTAAGGCCAGCCCTTGTCTGGCTGAGTCCTAGATGACTGATCCTTGCCTTCCTAATCTCTTCCTTCAGTGTCACATCCCCCATGCTGCTGGTGGCTCTGGCCGTCTTCTTCGGCGCCTGTTATATCCTGTATCTGCGCACATTGCAGTCCAAGCTTGTGCTCTTTGGTAAGACATCCCCTGTCCAGATAGATCCCTGGTCCCTCCAGTCTTGGTCTCTTGGAATGCAGACCCCAAATCCCAAGTTGTTGGAACCTGTCTGCCCATGCTTATTCGCTAGAGCCACCAAATGTGGTCCTAAGGATCTCAGACCCACCAGATGCCCCCAACCAGTCTTAGCTCCCCCAAATTGTTGTTCCCCATCCCCACAATGAGATTCCCCAGAACTCATGGCACTGCCATCCCCTGTGAGGTGAATTTACTTACCCCTTCTGCTCTAAACCTCTGCAGCAAGCATCAGCTGCAGGTGCCCTCATTGGACACGAGGTGGCGACATTATACAGGCCTAGATCTGTCACCACCCCTCTTCTGCTTCCTGGGGTGGAACCAGGAAGATCTTGGAACTTCTCAGATAGGGAAGCTGAAGTCTTAAGTCTCATGTGCCCCAGACTGGTATCGAGCACACTAGGAAGAAAGGCACCAAGTGAAGTTCCACCCAGGGGAAATCCCAGGTTTGCCAAGGGAGTTGGGATCAGCCCATCAGGTAGACCTAAGTCATGGTGTTTCAGAGGCCCGCAAGTTATGTACATGACAAAGATGGGTGACAAAGACAGGCTGGGTTGGAAGGAGCCCCCAAAACACAGGCACAATTTGGCTTCCATCCTCTGCTGTCATCGGAGCAGCAGATCTGATCTTTCAGTCTCATGTGAGAAGCCAGAAAGCTGCATTTTTATGTGAAATCATTCAGTGTGTTTGTCAAATTCTTGTGAAACATCTCAAAGGACACATCCTCAGGTCAGACTTGGCCCTGAGGCTGCCAGTTTAAGACTCCTGAGTGAGTGCAGGCTGGAAGGGATGTGGGAAAAGCAGGGTGAGGCTGGGGTGTGGAGAGCCTTGGCGTAGAAGCCTGGATTGGATCCTGGAGTTTGTAACACCAGATTGTGGGCTGGGGTCAGAGTGGGAATGACTGCCCAATGCCATCTGCTCCCAGGTCGAGAGGTAAGTCCGGCCCATCAGTACGCTCTGGCTGGGGGAGTCTCCTTCCCTTTTTTCTGGCTGGCTGGTGCAGGCTCCGCTGTCTTCTGGGTCCTGGGTGAGTACCAGGGTCTGAGTGGTGCGGGTTGACGGTGGGGACCAGCAAGGGAGGTGGCTTCAAACTGCCTGATGTCCTGCAGGAGCCACCCTGGTGGTCATCGGCTCCCACGCCGCCTTCCACCAGATCGAGCCTGCAGATGGGGAGGAGCTGCAGATGGAACCCGTGTGAGATGTTGTCCAGGACCTGCCGGCCTCCCTGGCCAGATGCCCCGCCCATCCACCCCTGTCCTGCATGGCCCTGATCCTTGGGCCAGAAGCACCCCTCCCAGCACAAGCCCAGGGAGGGCTCTGCCTTTGGAAATAAAACTGTTACAGTAGCCATTCAGCAAATGTTTTCCCTGGGTTCTCTGTGAGTCTGCTGGGGCAATGCTGGGAATACCAAGGAACAAGACAGGGTCCTGGAAGTGGGAAAGACAATAAGCAGGACATATGAGCAAAACAGCATAGGATATTAGGCTGGGTGTGGTGGTGCATGCCTGTAATTACAGCAGAGGTAGGAGGATTGCTATCTGAGGCCAGCTTCAGGCAAAACCACAAGACCCTATCTGAAAAAACAAAGCAAAAAGGGCTGCAGGCATGACTCAAGTGGTAGAACACTTTGGAGTCCCTGAGTTTAATCCCTAGTTCTGCCAAAAGAAAGTTGGGGGAGTGTTTACACTTGCTAGGCAGGTGCTCTACCACTTAAGCCACTCCATCAGCCTCAGAGAGCAGCTCTTTACTAGGGCATGAAGACACAATCCAAGGTCCCGGGTGCCAACCAAGGGCCAACTGTGTGCACAGGCTGATCTAGGGATGGCAGCCTCATGCTGCTGTGTCAATGCTGCTCTGCACAGAGAAAGTTCTGGAGTGAGTTGCAGGTCACAGGTGCCCAGGGAAGCCCCCTGAGGTGGCCCTAAGTGCAGACCTTAACTGAGGCAGGGAGCAGCTACAGCCATGATCCTTTGGAGGAAGAAAGTTCTGGGCAGAGGAGACAGCAGGCATCATTGGCTTTTACCTGAGCTATAATTGACTTTTTTTTTTTTTTTTGAGGCAGAGTCTGGCTATGTAGCCAAGCTGACCTCCACTCTTGATCTTCCTGCCTTAGCCTCCCAAGTGCTAGGATTATAGATACGTGCTACCATACATAGCCCAGTTGGCTTTTTTTTTTTTTTTTTGGTGGTACTGGTGCTTGAACTCAGGGCCTTCATTGTGAGCCACTCCACCAGCTCTATTTTTGTGAAAGGTTGTTTGAGATAGGGTCTCAAGAACTATTTGCCCAGGCTGGCTTCAAAGTGTGATCCTCCTGATCTCTACCTTCTGAGTAACTAGGATTACAGGCGTGAACTTCTGCACCCAGCTAAACTGGCTTTTTGTTATAAGGGGCAGCCTCTGCCATGCAGAAGCACTGACAACAAATGTGATTGGTCGGGAAGTGCACATGTGGAAGGTCAGCAAAGTGAGACACCAGGACAGCCTGAGGAGCTGCTGTAGGTGGGACTGGCCAGGGACTTGATCTGAAGTGATGTTTCTGGGATCCCTGAGGGACACAGCCAGCCACAGGAAGAGTTGTGGGTGCCATCTCTAAGGTATCAAAATGTGGTCTCCCAACCCTTCCAACCTCGGTCTCGCCACCAGAACTCCTTATGTGTCATTTGTTCTGCACAGTGTTTACCCAGGACCCACTAAGCACCCAGCATTGGTCTGGAATTCTGCTGTCACTCACTCTGGCTACAGGTGCCCACTGGTTCATGTGGTGACCAGGTTTGAAGATGCACTGAATGTAAAACTGAAAAGGGGGTAAAATTTCTTGTTGGTCATTTCCATACTGACTGGGTGTTGGAAGGATACTATTTTGGATATGTTGGGTTAAGTTATTATGAATTTCACTTTTTTTAACTTTCTAAAATGTGACTATGTAGAGAATGGAAAGTTATGCCCATGGATCCTGGTGTAGTGGCACATATCTGTAGTTCCAGGGCTCAGGAGGCTGAGGCAGGAGGATTGGGAGTTCAAGGCCAGTCTGGGCTACATAGTGAGACCCTGTCTCAAAAAGAATGGAGAAAGGGAGGGAAGGAGGAAGGAAGGGAGGAAAAGAAGGGGAGGGGAAGAGGGAGGGGAAGAGGGAGGAAAGAAGGGAAAGAGTTACACCCCCTGCCTTGTGTTTGTTTCTATGGATCTGGTTCTTGGAGCTCACCTTCAGTTGGAGAGACACAAGACACACCCACAAACCAGCCAACCAATGGAGTCCTCAGAGAAGGGTATGCCACAAAGCTAACCAAAGGGACTGGGTGAAACTAGTGGAGGGGAGGGCAGGAAGGGCTCACTTGAAGTGGAGAGACCAGGGGCCTTGCAGGGTTATGAGGGGCAACTCCTTCCTTGGAGATCAGAGGGAAGAGCATTCTGGCCAGAGAGAACAGCAAATGCAAAGTCCCTGAATTCATATCGGTTCAATGACAGGGCAGTGCTTGTATGTGGGGTAAAGAGAAATGACATTGGGGACCAAATCACACAGGACCTGCAGACCCTGATGTGGAGAGCACAGAAGAATTTTGAGTAGGAAAGACAGAAGGTCAGGTGTGAAGATTAGAAATACCTCTCTGAGGTGCTGGGTGTGGTGGTGCACACCTGTAATCCCAGCACTGGGGAGGCAGAGGCAGGAAGATCGTGCATTTGAGTCCATCTTGGGCTACATAGCGAGACTCTACTCAGAAAAAAACAAAGACTGAGGTGTAAGTCAGTGATACAGCACTTGCCTAGCATGTGCAGCGCCCTGGGTTCCATCCCCAGTACCGAAAAAAAGGAAAGGAAGGGAAGAAAGAGAAGTTCCAGATTTTGGTCCCAAAAAACAAAACAAAACCACCCCTCTGGGACTCAGTGGGGAGTGAGTTGGGGGCGGGGATTATTCCAAGTTGGAGAAGATCAGGCAGGGATGGGAAGGAATTCTCAGGGACAGGATAGGGAAGAAGAGGAGGCAGCACTGAGGTGGTGACATGACCCCCGTGGGAGTTAAGGGGAGGGAGTAGACAAGAATGGCACCAGGCTTCAGGCCTAGGGCACCATGGGAAGACCAGGGAGCCTGGAAACCTGGATCCACAGAGAGCCTGGCCAGCCACTGAGGATGCCCTTCCTGCAGGGTCCACCAGAGGGCAGACAAATGCTTCCTTTGGCTTTCTCCAGGGACTCATTCTGAGAGACCAGGGTAGGCTGGGTACTTGGGGGCCTGAGGCTGGGTCAGGTCTGGCTGTCTATTTTGGGGACAGTGCCTGGAGTCCAACTGGATGGCTGGGAGTGACAGATTATCTTTTTTTTGGGGAGTGACAACCCTGTTTCTTGTTTGGGGTAATAGAAACTGGAGATCTGTTACCAACTTTGAGGTGACAGGGACTGGTGGTCAGATGATAGAGTCTGGGACTCCCAAGGCCTGGGTATCTAGGTGACAAATTTGGGGAGATGACACTAGGAGTTCTGGGCCCTAGTTTTGAGTGACAATATAGGGAATCCCTTTAAAGGCTAGAGATCTAGGGGTCTAGTTGGTGGTGACAGAGCCAGGGGGGGGCCCTATTGTGTGACTTGGGACAACAGAGAGAGGAAAAGGGGTCTCATTGCCTACCATAAGGTGACAGCAACTGTGGGGTCACACATTTTAGTTTGGGGAATGTCTACTTACATAGTTTGGGGTGGAAGACACAGTGGGTCCAGTTCTCAAGTTGTCAGTGCTGCATTAGGGACTTGTGCTGGTTAAGAGAAGCAGGAGTCATCTGAGGTGTCAGGAGACTCAGGTTTCTGTCTAGGTTGGGGTGCTGGGGGTTGGGACTTTAAGGTCTACTTTGGGGCAACAGATCGGAGTCTGTCTAATTTGAGGTGATCAAGACTGGAAGTCCTGGAACTTCAGGGGAAATGAGATCTAGAATCTTTGGAGTGATGGACAGGTTGAAATACTGAAATTTAGGTTTGTGATACCAGATTGAAGGTCCAGTGACAATCTGGAGCAATGGAAATTGGGTCTTGGATACTCCATGGGAGTATCTGAGACTTGTGCTCTGATTATCTCACTTGGGGTGGCTGAGACCATAAGGTAAAGAGTCTGATATGGAGTTCTAGAGACGAAAGTACTGGTTCTCTTAGTTTAGGGGGGATGACAGTAGGGCTTGGGATTTGGTTTGGGGTAAGAAGCTTCATGTAATCAGATGGCTCGTTTAAGGCTGTAGATGCTATAGATTTGGCAGCCTGCTTGGGGTGACAGACTTACCAGGATCTGGCTGAATAGTTTGGGGTACCAGAGACTGGGGGTCCTTTTGTCTGGCTTGGAGGCAGGGATTCCAGACATGTCATGATTGAGATTTAAGCACTGTGGATCATCTTTGTCAGAAACTGGGGGTCCAGGTATCTAGTTTGGGACACCAAAAATGGGATTTCCTTTGTCTAGCTTGGGATGGGAGAGATGTGGACCATAATTATCTAGTGTGTGATGAAAGACTAGGGCTCAGTTGTCCAGTTTGAGATGAAGTGACTGGGGCTCCAGGATCCAATTTGGGGTGCCATAGGGTGGGAGTCTGCTTGTCTTGACTGATGTGAGTGGGGAGGGGGGTCTGGATGGAGTCTGGTTGAGTAGGTGAAGATCAAAGGAACTGTAGGCACATGTCTGTAGTTTGAGGTGACATTTTATGCACTGAGTTGCTCAGTGTAGGAGAACATGGCCTAGAGGCACAGCTGTCTCTTTGGGGGTGGCAGATCTGGGGGTCATTTGTCCACTTCTGTAGGAAAGAGACTGGGTCCCAGAATGTCTGCAGGGACAGTTAACAGAGTTTGCTTATGTAGTTTTGTGGGATGAATCTGAGGTTCCAGGGAGCACTGGAGTTAGCAGACTCTGAAGGTCTCTTGCCTAGTTTTGTAAAACGAAATTAGGGTCCCTATCTATATTTGAGGTGACAGAGACTGGTGTCTATCTACTTTGGGAGGATCTTATACTAGGATCACTCTATGCATTTTGGGTAACAAAAATTGGGGGCCTGGTTGTATGGTTGTTGAACAGGCTAGCATCCCAGGGTGTTTTGGGGGGTGACAGATAAGACTGGGAGTCTTGATTGTGTAATCTTGGTTGGAGACTGGGTGCTCAATTTACTAATTTGTGGTAACAGTCGTCTTCTTTTTTTCTTCCTTTTTTTGCAGTACTGGGGTTTGAACTCAGGGCCATACACCTTAAGCCACTCCACCAGCCCTTTTCTTGTGATGGATTTTTTCCAAATAGGGTCTCCCAAACTATTTGCCCAGGCTGGCTTCGAACCACAATCCTCCTGATTTCTGCCTCCTGAGTTACTAGGATTACAGGCGTGAGCCACCAGTGCCCACCCA